TGTAGGTTGTGCAAGATTGTGTCACCCGCCGCCGCAAGTTTTATGGCTTAGCGTTAAATATTGATGCAGACGTGTCCACCCGCCCTAATGGGGCTTGTGGTGTCGTTGTGTAGGTACCTAGTTACATACATATTTTCTTTTACCGTACTATGCACGTAAACGAATATAATACTGCCTTATTATATTTTAAATAGGAACATTTCTATCTTCATTTGTATTTAATATAAATGAATTGTTAAAAAAAACACTGTTGTAATTACTTGTAATTCTTTTTTCTCCTATGAAAATGACTTTAATTGGAGAAATTTAAAGCCTAACACCCGGTTGCCGAACGGCCGATCAATGTTAAAATCAATTTATTCTCTTAAAGTCACCTGATTGGTTGACTGAATTATCAACAACCAATCAGATGACTTGACAAGAGATTTGACACCTAGTTATTTGATTTTAACATTGATCGGGCTTTCGGAAACCGTGCATTAAACTTTTACCATAAATCTGCTTACCATTTGATTTGCTGATACGATGTCAAGTTCAGAAAACTAGACCATCACCAGTTTTTGTATTGTAACTATCGTGAGACATACTAAATAATAATGACTTACTCACATGAATTTACCTTCATTAATTAATTATTTATAAGCTGCGTGTGCATCGTGATCGTCCCGATAAATAAGTGACCCATTGTTATCTACTTGAAACTAATAGGGCTTTTCTCAGTTAATTAATGTGAGTAAGTTGTTATTTTTAATAAATCATAACAAGTGTGGGAGAGCCATGCTTCGGCACGAATGGGTCGGCTCCACCGGAGTGATACCCACGGCCTTACAAAAAACCAGCGTGAAACAAGCACAGCGTTGTGTTTCGCCGTGTGCCAAATCCTTCCAATGAAACAATGAACTATCGGCGGCGCTGATTGCGTTTATATAAAAGAATCAGTTTTTCCAGTACTACGCAACAGAAGTAGAATACCTTCCCCAATTTTTAAGTAAGAATATATCTAACGTTATTGGAAGTAAAACATCTTTTGATTTCATCTAACTTCATATTTCTACTGTTATAAGTTGAAGTTTCCGTCGCTTCACGGCACTGGACATCTTGGGAACATTATTTACGAGCAGCGATCTCGCTTCATCTGTTCGTGTCCGTTACACTTGTCGCCTTGGATTCTTGTTCTCCTAGTAATTAAAGTTGAAGAACAAGGCTATTTCTACAGTAATCTGTTTTAAGACTTGTAGAGTTCGTGACGAACCTTCAGAGTTTTGGTGTGTTTTTTTTATGTTATAGGACGGCGAACTAGATTACCTGATGGTAAGCAATCAGTCACCCATGGATATCCACAACAACGGGAGCGTTATGAGTGCATTGCCGAGCTCTTGGAGAATAGGGATTTGGAGATTTTAGGATTGGGGGATGAAGGATTTGGGCCTCCGGTAACCTCACTCACACGGCGAAACACGACGCTGTGGTTGTTTCACGTCGATTTTCTGTGCCAATCAGACCACCACAGATTCGATGGCTAGCCAAGGTCGCGAGTAAACATTATGATGTACCAAAGCCCGTGCCGCCTTGGGACAGGAGAAGGGACGGGATGGTTTTTAGTCAGTAAGAGTCTGAAACTGCCTCTTGCCTCACCGAAGTCAATTGATGACTTCCCCTTCCTAAAAGAGTGTCAAAAATATCCAACTATTATATATAGGTATAAATGTGTGAGGATTCATGGATGTATGTATGTTTGTAATCTTTTACGAAAAATTTGGTTGGATTTGGTTAAATTGGTATGTAGGTTAAGTAAGGTACTTAGGTAAGTAACACGTCACTTTATTCATCTTTTGCACCAAAGCCAAATTAGTAAAGATACCTACCTCAGGTGTATCAACTTGACAAGAGAAATTAAACACAGTGCTACTAAAACAATCATACGTGAGAATATCAATTACAAATTAGCTTAGGGACGGTTATAGAATTAATTAATATTAATCAATCAAAGTCTATACTGAATGCAATTAGCTTCATATTAATACATAACTATAACTAACGTATGTACATACATATTGTGAGCTAGCTGTCCTCCTAACAGAACGGTGAGTAATTAATAATTTATGCCCGTTGAATCCCTGAATCTGTACCTGATAGGCAAGTATCTATTTACCTGATAAACGATTGAATACTCTAAAATAATGATATTAACGTTCGTAATAGTTTCAAACGTTTCGAGAATTTGATTGAACATCCTCATTTAAACTATCATGAGACATACTATATACTTATTGAAAATACCGACTTACGTGAATTTAAATTAATTAAATAAAAAAATATATGTATGGGAGAGCCATGCACGAATGGGTCGGCTAGACCGGAGTGATAACACGGCCTCACAGAAAACCGGCGTTAAATTACCACAGCGTTGTGTTTCGCCGTGTGAGTGAGATTACCGGAGGCCCAATCCTTCCCATCTCCAATCCCTCCCCCCCCCCCCCCATCCAATCATTAAATTCCTAATCCCCACAAGGTCGGGGACGCAGTCGTAACTCCTCTGTTGTTGGGGGCGTCCATGAGCGGCGTTGATTGCTTACCATCGCGTAATCCGTCTGCTCGTTTACCGATATATCGCATAAAAATAAAAATAACTGAGAAAAGCTCAACTAGTTTCAAATCACAACGGGACTCATATTCATGAGCAGCGTGCGTGTCGCTGCGACGACGTCGTGCATCCGACTGAGCCAGTTGTAACTATTAAAAAACGGAAGAAAGTCGTTATTTTCAATACATTTTTAAAATCTTGTGTGTCACATCATCAGCCTATAAGTGCCCACTGCTGAGATAAGGCCTCTTCCCACAAGAAGAAGGTTTTGTAATCCTAAAGATATTTTTGGTGTTTAAATAATCACAAAAATTACATATATTTAACTCGGAAAAAGTCACATTGATACTCAACAGGTTTCGAACCCGTGCCCTCAAACATGAGAAGCCTTAACCCCTGGGCCACCACGACATTTCATAATTTAAAAATCTTAAACAATTTTAGATTCTAAAACAATAACATTTAATTTGGAAATCAAAACAGTTTCTAGAATTCAATTGATATATAGATATTTATATGTCAATCATTATCAATATATGTCTGTCATTGTCCAAGCGCGATATAACATAAGCAGCGCAGCGTTTAGTGTTACCACAATGACCCAGAGGATGTGAATAAAAATAACGATTGTGTATTGTTTTTTTAAGTTATTTATTGCTTACATTTATAAAAGATGACACTGCTATATTGTTATTAGAAGTACCGACATTCCAAAGTTATGTTATGTCAACAATAATTCTTATAAAATCATCATTCAATAACAAATGCTATTGGCGTGACTGACATACATTGCTTAAAGCAATAAACGATTTGTCTCGGAGCTACATAAATATGCATGGTGCATAATATGTGGGATGCCTAAGGATTGGGTTGTTTTCTGTGGATTTTTTTATTTTATGGAAGCTGAAGTACACCAGTCTTGCAGTGTCCACATCTGTTAGCTGTCGGATCTTCCAGACAGCAAATGCTGCAGAGCTCAACCGTCCTGCCAGAGATGTGATATGGGGCCCCATTGTAGTTTGTCATCTATGGTTATACCCAGAAAAGTAGTTTCAATTACTTACCGTTTAATAATATGTCACATTCGTTACTTTTAACATTTGGCAAACTGAATCGTCTTTTTGTCGTTTAGGACTAAATTGTTAACAGTAAACCACTTATGAACCTTCGTAATTGCATTATTTACGTCGTTATAATTATCTGTCAGTCTATTTATTTAAAAAATCAACGATGTCATCAGCAAATAATACCATTCCCGGTTCACGTTGAAATAAATAGGTAAGTCATTTATGTACACTAAAAACAGGAAAGGACCTAATATCGAGCCCTGTGGTACGCCCATAGATATGCTAGCACCCTGGGAGTTCCTATCCTGCAGGTATGATTTTAATAAATTGAGAGATGGGGTATCTCTCGAATGCCGTAGTGTTCCAACTTCAGCAACAGTGTCGGGTGTTCAACGCAATCAAAAGCTTTAGACAGGTCACAAAAAATCCCAATAGCGTCGTTTGACTTTTCCCATGAGGCAAAAACATGCTTAAGTAAAGCTACACCGGCGTCAGTTGTGCATCGACCCTTGGTAAACCCATATTGTTGGTCATGAAAGATGGAATTTATGTTAAAGTGTCGTAGCATCTGAGAAAGCATCAGCTTTTCAAACACCTTACTAAGCACTGGTAAAATTGATACCGGCCTATAATTATTGGGATCATTGTCATCCCCAGATTTGAACAACGGAACCACCTTGCTAAGTTTCATCAAATTTGGAAAAACTCCCTGATCTACACTTCTATTAAAAATTAAAGCTAAATAAGGCGCTATAGCTTCTATAAAAGACCTACACACCGCAACAGACATTCCCCATAGATCCTCTGTAGACTTAACTTTTATGTCTTTAAACGCCTTTATTACTGATTGCGGGTCCGTGTACTGAAATCGGAAGCCAGAACGGCATTCTTTAACATTTCTTTTAAGAAGACTAATAGAAAGTGCCGGAGAATGGAGATGATTCTAAGTCTTTCGTAGTTTTAATGGGGATATTCTTGAAAAAATTTTCTTGGGCAACTTCTTGATTTGCATTAACTCGTCCATTATCCGTATTTAAATTAAATTCCGTGTTATGCAATTTATTTCTGCCTGTCTCGCTATTAATTACCGTAGCTTTTGTTTTATTTTCAGCTTAATCTTATTGCCAATATAAAAGCTTGCCTACAGACTGTTTTAAATACTTTTGCATATTTGGACACATGCTTGCTGAAGGCTTCACTAGTATTAAATGGTTTCATACCATATAGCTCAAATAACCTTTCCCTACTTCTACGAATACCTGGGGTTTTTTTTTTTTTGTGAGGGGAAAATCATCAAATGACTTCTCCCGCCCAGGGCCGGGCAGGAGGGAGTGTCAGACTCTTACTGACTAAAAACCCCCCTGTTCCTTCTCCTGCTCTGTGCCGAGGTCGCGGTGCCTCATTGCGCTTACCCCGCAACCCCGGCTGAACATCAGCCCTTTAGGGCCCCATCTGTGGTGGTCTAATGGCTCTTTGAGGCGCGCGCGGAACGCTACGCGCCGTACGCTCGGGCCTGGTTCTGGTCGGGCGGCGAGCTGCCCTTACTCGCCGACCGCAGGCCCGTGTTTACGGTGGCCGGAGATCGTCCCTTGATCCCCGACGCCCGTAGTGTCGCCAGTTGCGGCTGCTGGGGCGTGAGGAGGAGGATTGCTCCCTCACGCGGGCCGCCTCTCTCTTTGCGAGCATGACTGCTTCACAAAAGGAGGAGACGGCGTCCCAGTTCCTCTCACTCCGCACCATGGCCTCGACTAAGGCCGGGCGCGAGAGGTCGCCGCCGCCGATCACTTCCCTGAGGATACGGCGGTGCTCAGCCCAGGCAGGGCATACCGCTACCGTATGCTCCACCGTATCCTCTAGGTGATCCTCACAATGACGACACTCGGGCGTTTCCTCCCGCTGGATCCGAAACAGGAACCTACCGAAGCTGCCGTGCCCGGTAAGCACCTGCGTCAGACGGAAGGTGAGGACGCCGTGGCGTCTCTCAAGCCACTCCTCAAAGAGGGGTCTTACCGCTGCTATGGTAGCGTGCCCGGCCCTCGGTTGCGACAGTCGTTGTTTCCACTCTGCCATGAGATCTCGCCGGAGCTCATTCCGCCACGCACTAATTTGGCGCGGCAGAGGATCTTCGCCCCGGCGACGCGCGTCTGCGCGCAAACTGTAGACGCGCGCGAGCACCTTCGCTTCTAGATCCCACGGCGGTGATCCGGCAAGGAGGTTCGCCGCCTCCCCGGAGATCGTGCGATATCCGCGGATTATTCGGATGGCCATGACCCTCTGGGACGCGACCAGCGTACGTGCCGGCCGCCGCTTCAAGTCCGGCGCCCACACAGGGGCACCGTAGACGAATACCTGGGGTAGCCCAGTCACAGAATACAAATGTACACTCAATAGTATATTTTATCAAACTGGGTGGGATATTTATGTTTCAAATTGTTATTTAATGACTCAACCCTTTTATTTGTGATTTGCCTAAACATTTTTTCAGTTTTTGGGTGCCTTTGTGATGTTGTTAAGGTTCATTGTTAACCCACTGTGGTCTGATGGTAAGGTATTTATTATATCCTTATGTAAATAATTACAGTTACAAAACATAATATCTATACATGTAGCCGAGGTGGATGTTACTCGGGTAGGCTCGAGGAAAACATTAGACAAATCAAAAGATTTAAAAAGACTTACCAAATTAACACAATTACAATTGTTTTCTAAGAGATCAATATTAAAATCGCCACATACTATTGTGAATTTACTGTTCGAACACGCTTTCTGCAAAACTTGTTCCATGACTGAGTTAAAAATGTTTAAGTTCTGTAAGTTAGGAGGTCTATAAACGCATACTACAACATGCCTATCCAGCTCCACACAGGACAATTCAATTGTATGCTCAATGGAAAGTGAAGTAATATCTTGTCTTTTTTTATATTTAATTGAGTTTTTAATAATATTAAACTACCACCATGAATCATTGCTTGACGGTTAAAGAAACTATTAACGCAATAATTTTTAAAACTCATAAATTCTACCTGGAACTTCTTCATCCAATGCTCTGTTATACAAACTAGGTATGTCAAATTTAGATTTTTCTAAAAATTATTCCAATTCTAGTAACTTGGATGAAATGCCCTGAATATTTGGACTGAGGAGTGTAAAATTTCCTCGCTTGTTTTTAGAATATAATTTGTTGCAAGAAGATACCTTTTGATAACTTGTAGCATTAGAATTTAAAAGGATATCTTCTGTTGTCCCAAAATTTAATTTAAAAAGTTATCTGGAGGGCTACCCACATTTGTCACTAAATGTTGAGTCTCCTTCGTACTATTATATTACAGTCTATCACTACATTATTAGAACATCTACATAATGTAGTATCTTCACTTAAACTACATGCTAAGTTAATAATATTTGCTAGAAGGCTAGCAAGTAAAACTTTACATTTTCTAGGAATTGACAAAGATTTCCTAGTCAAATTAAAACCACTAACAAATTTGTTAGTATCAAAAAATAATAAATTGTCACTATGACATGTCAAATTAAATATCATATTATTTATGCTATTTATCCTCTGATTTTCAGACACTGACATAGTGTCTGAAAATGGGAAAGCAAATAAAACAATCTTTCCCAAATCCAGCTTTAATAAGGTGTTGATACCATCTAGAATGTCTTCATTCATTCACCCATTCACCCATCAGTAAAACTACAAGCTGATGTCTTGTGATATGTCCCTGAACTATTTTGTTGATCATCTCACAAAATTTTATGTTGTGGTAACAGTAGTTAGTTATATCACAATTATGATTTAGGCTGTTTGAAATAAGTGATCCAATACATATGCCCATTGAGTCAGTATATACACAATTGTTATGTTTTATTATTTCTTGTGTTATTTTAGGGACTTGATTCATAGGCTCTGGCTCTGGGGCACGGGAACAGCTACATGACAGATTATTTGCAAGGGACTCATATCGTTCAGAACTGTATGTTACTAAATCTACAAGCAACCATATTTTTATTAATTTCTAGTTGGGCCGACTCATACTTTTGGAACAAATCATTTATAAATATTCCTCTTTGTAGAAGTTGTTCTCGGAGAGCATTTATATCTACTTCATTTAAGTCCCTACTTTGATCAATCTGATCATTACAACACTTTAGTTCATGACTTAAAATAACTTTTTGTTTCCTTAAGTTTAAATTTTGCTTCAAAAGATTTTGTCCCCTAATTGTTTTTTTTAAATTTTCTGATTCTTTTATTCAACCTAATATATTTTTTAATTATATTTTTTAATTTTATTATGACTATTGAGTACAGGGTGTGAGGGGATGGTATCATCACCAGTCAAATCTATGGTAATGGCCGGCTCACATAATTATGTCACCAGACCCACCACCAACCAACTCATCATATAGACAGAGAGTATCGCTTGACTGTACTAATTGTTTACTAGCCTCAAGTTTGTTAATTGTATTATGGGCTTCTCTGAGATCATGCTCAAGTTGTGATATGCGTGTCAGAGCATGTTCATGAGTCTCTGTACACTGCTTAAAAGCAGTAATTTAATTTAATAATCTAGTATGTTGGTCTAGCAGGTCTGTGTGACATACATGTAGTTCGGCCAATTCATTTTTGAGTTTGGTATTCTTAGTAATAATATTCTTCACTTCCACTTCACTGTCGTCCCTCTCCTGCAGCAGTTGGTCACACAGGAGTTTGGATGACTCCAGTTCCTTAAGCACTGCCCTCAGTTTACTTTCCATTTCCTTTACCAGGGTCATCATACTGTTAGGTATGTAGAAGTAAAATACTGAAATAAAGGAAAAAGGACAGCAAAAAAGGACTGCAAAAAGAAAGACAGGGAAATTGACTAAGAAGGGAATGAGTTAAAGTATCTAAAGTCTGGGACGTAAGAGACAAAGAAGATAAGAGAAACAATAATTAACTTTAAATTTAAATAATGGTTCTTAGATGAAATATTTTTCAATATGTAGATGGAAGCAAAAGATTGGAATCTAATTTATTCTTCTTTAAATAGTCATATACTTAAACATAGGCACAAATTAAGTTAATCAAAGTTAATTATACTGCTTAAGGATATACTCTAAACTGCTACAGGACAATATTGATAGCAACCTAGCATAGAATTTTTAGTTTTTAAGTATCTAGTACAAGTTTACCCACTTTGTGTTCTATTCTACAATATTCGAATTTCGGACGTTATACAGAGGAGTTTATGTAGTATTTTAGTGTTTTTCCTATTATTATATGGTAAATAAGTAATTATCACATATTCTCCCCTGGTTTAATGATTCAAATTAGTTGATATCTCCGTCCGTTGACAGCTGCAACAACTTTTCGGTTTTGTGGAGGAGGTATTATTAATATCACAAGGCACACACTGCCTTTAATAATTCTATCTATTCTATATATTCTAACACAATTAGACGTATTTTAAACTTAAATATCACATAAAACTCATTAAAAAATTAAATTTAAACTTGAGGTCGTTTTTTGACGACCGGCTCACAGTGTTGCCACGTGAGTGTGTTGCTGACCTTTTAGCGATAAGGAATTTAGAGAATTAAGGATTGGGCCTCCGGTAACCTCACTCAAACGGCGAAACATAACGCTGTGCATTATATATTTTTTTCTTACAATTACAGCTCTAATATGCTAAGAATGAATGGTACTTTGCGCCACGCCAATCGAAACACAAACAATGATTTTGAAAAATTAGTTAGAACGTGTCACTGGTTACAAACAATAAAGAAATAGATAACAATAAGTTCTAGCTAACTATCTCGGGAGGATACATAAAAAATTTATAAATTTTTGTGGGCCTTTTTGTAGAATCACCAAAAGTCAAAAGTCAAAAATCATTTATTTCAATTAGACAGTAGGCACTTTTGAACGTCAAGCAAGCAAAAAAGGAAAAAAGTATATAAAAAGAGCTTTAAAATTAAGCTTGTCAGTCTGTCCGTCTGTCCTCTAGTGAAGCTATTTGCTCGTTCCAAAGTGTAGATTCCTATGGAGAAGAACGAGCAAGAAACTCCATGGAACCAAATACTTGGACCAAATACTTTTAATACTTTTTTTCTGGTCAATTTACTGTATAAAATATTTACCTAGACTTAATTGTTTAAACTTCAGGTAATCCTTCGAATGACCGTTACATCTTTCCCCTTGAGTGTTTCAAAGTGACTTTTGTCCCTTTTTCGTTTTGGCCGTTGAGTGCACCAAAGGACTATTGTCAAGGTAATAATGTCCTATTGTCCCTTTTTGTGCTATTGTCCCTTTTTCCGTTCCAGTGCCACACAACATCAAAATATATTTATTTCTTTCTATCACACGCTGTTTTAATACTTTTTCTCTTTTCTACTCGAATCTTAATACATTTCTTCATGCTAAAAATATGACAGTAGTACAGCCGTGGTTCATTCGGATTTAAAATAAAATGTCAAAGTCAATGGTTGGTTTTCGCGCGTTTGGCGGGTGTCTGTTATTTCGTGCTAATTTTATTTATATTTCAATTGAGTGTGAGTATTATTGTCGCAATTACGGTTTTATTAGACAATTAGCATATAGTCTTTGTGTGTGTAACCGAATTTTAACCTGAGGGTAAGTATATTTCTATTTCTGTGTGGTTTTCAGTGTACTTGTAACAGTGCTAGAAATTTGTCAGAATGCTATCGTAATTTATTTAATTGGAAGACCAGTTGTGTGTAAAAAGTAATAACTATCGCATTAAATGTTTACTCGATAATAGTTTTCAGTCAAAAAATATACAAATACACTCGGCGTCACAAAAGTCCCACCTCTTTATAAATTCCCTTCAAAGTCATTTTTTTAACACTATTAATCAATGGTAGACATATGATTATGAGGTATCATTGGAAAGGCAATTTATTTAAATTACAGAATAATCAATGGATGTGGTTATTTGTTTACATGGATATAAAAAAAGCAAGCTAATGCAAATGATTAAAAAGGAAATTATTATTTTATCAGTAAAAATTACAACAAAGTCCTTTAAAACAACTTAAAACCTAGTGTTACCCCCCTGGCCCTGACTACTGCTTCCTTGCGTTCTCTCATGGACCTGATTAATGTGACAACAGTCTCTTACAATTAAAGCAGTGTGACAGCGGGTGTTATCATGCATTAACGTGAACCCACTGCCAACAAAACCCACATAAGGGACAACCTGCTCCTCTAAGATATCTGTTATGTACCAAGCAGTAGTCAGCGACCCTTGCCCGCGAGCACTTGCAGTCCGAGAAACACACACAAGGTTCGTTTTGCCATCGATTGACATACCGTCCCAGAACATACACGAGCCGAATACAGGCTTGTGTGAATCGTTCCCCTTGCCTCCTATGCACTCTTCGACGCCTGTCGTTGCTGAAAACACACACCCTCGTCACATCCGGGAAGAGCACAGCCCTCCATTGATCTATTGTCCAATCCACATGGTCACGGGCAAATTGCAACCGGTCTCCTATGCTGTGCAGTCAATTTTGGCCCTGTAGCAGCCCTATGAGCTCCAATTTTCTTCTCCTGCAGCCTTCTTCTAATTGTGGAGACGCTTACAGAAGTTCTGCGAGCTGATCGCAGTTGTTGTTGCAGCTCAACAGCATTGGAGAACCGATTACGTAAAGACGTCGTAACAATGAAGCGATCGTCTCTTTCGGATGTGCACCGTTGTCTTCCAGATCCACGTCTTCGGATATAGCCACCAGTCTCTTGGAAGCGTTGGAACACTCGTCGAACGGCAAAACGACTCAAGTTCAGCTGCCGAGCAACATCATACTGCCGCATCCCTGATTGCAGTAGTGCAATGACTTGAGAGGCTTGAGAGCTGCAGTAGTATCCATCTTCTGGGGTATTTTTCTTGCTGTAACTGTTCACGTGTGTTCACTTCCAAGGCTGAATAGCGAATGACCCACATTTTACCTGGGTCGCTCGTTTTATACCCTTGTAGGGAGGCTCAATTAGTGGTCGTTGCAATGCGTATTTTGACAACATATTTTTAACGTTACGTGCTAATGAGATCTGTTATGTTTAGGAATTCTAACTATTGTTAATTTAAAAGTCATTAAACACGCTTTCAATTGATACTAATATTAATTGGGCTTAATGTATTCATTGCTGGCGGGATATGCTTTAAACTTATTATTGAAGAGGTGCGATTTTTGTGACGCCAAGTGACGACTATTTCAAGTTGGTCCGCCAAACAAAAAATTTAAACAAACAAAATGGCTGCCCACCTGCTATGATAATAAAGCTTGGTATACACAGGGAATTTTGTACCGGTCGAAAATGAAATGAAATTATTTTTTTACCTTCATATTTATTTCGTATTTGTTTTCTCATAGTTTGTACTATATTTAAAAAGGTATTGAATGTGAAGCCACCGAGGGGTTCGTACAAACATCAACATCCCGATCATCGTCTTCACAGTTCATCACAGGGCGTAGGATTTTATAATCAGGCCGAATAAATTACAAAAATATCGGACGTCGGCTAACCGTCTCCTATGTCAGTCACAGCGCTCGCTCTCAACCATAATGCGGACGCAGAACTGTCAGTTTAACGTTCCGCCAGAGTACGATTCATTGTACCCTCGCCCGATGAATTGTGATAAAACCTCCTTCAAAATTCAATTTCAATAATCGACGCTCCGTCAAGTGAATTTTCATTGAATGTTTATTTGAGTTTTTTTTACCGTAATATTTGTTTTGTTTATTTTATTAAGTTTTTGAGTTTTACTTTAGTTTTAATAATTTAGAAATGGAAGCTGCAAAAAATAACGGTTGTGGTGGTGGTCGAGCGGGAAACCGTGGTGGTGGTGGTCGAGCAGGAAACCATGGAGGTGGTGATCCAGTAAGCAGACGTAGGCGCGGGCGTGGGCGTGGGCGCGGCGTTGCCCGATCGCTTCATTTTGCGATGTTTGTGTTTCTTTTCGTACTTTTTGTTTTCTTTAATTAATAATTATATTTGGTTACGGATATTTTCTTGCTTTGCTAGGTTACTTTAGAGCCATACCCAAAATGTTCTTAACTTTTAAGGGGACAGTCGGATGCAGACAGCGTCTCGTCTGCGTCCTTTGCTATTGCGGGGCCATCGCAACCGAGAACGTTAGTTATTTTTTTTAAATTATTTTTTACTTAAAAATGATGAAATGTACTTTCTTTTCATTCAATTTCGTTTTTATAGGCAAATTGACAATGACACCGATCTGTCCATAAGTATTGCTGGTCCGTCGCGACTTATAATGTATGTAAACATTTATTTAAAATGTAACAACTGTACTCTTTCAATACTGTCATTAGTGAAACAATAGAAGCGGCGCGGTGCTTAATGAATTACACACTGTGTTTTTTCTTCTTCCAGATCAATAGTAGTAGAAAGAAAAAAAAGAAAAAAAATGCGCGCTCTGGATAAAAAAAACATGGCCCGATTACCAACAGAGCAAAGGGCACGGCTTCAAGAGCTACGGGGCAGGAAGGAGGTCAGGCAATTTTTAATGCCCGATGCACCTCCTAGTAAAAATAGGAGAAAAAGGTAAGAACAATATTTAGGAAAATAATATGCTTTGCACAGTCACAAATGTTTTATTTATATTATATTTCCAGAAAACTGTCGCCGGTTCGTGTGCCGTGCCCTTTGGTGCCGGGCACCCGAGAAGTGCCGGCCCCGCGTATTCCACATAAATGGGAATCGCAGAAGTCAGGTGTGTAAATTATCTGCCGAATATCGT